GAAAGCTTATGCCCAAATAAATCTGTTAGTCTTTAAGGTGCCACCAGACTCCTTGTTGTTTTTGTAGATACAGACTAACACGGCTACCCCCTGATACTTGTCGGAAGACAGGATACTGGGCTAGATGGGCCATTGATCTGACCCAGTATGGTCATTCTTATGTACCTTACAGACCAATAGTTGATCCAGGATAGCAAAATCTGTGTTCCTACTGTGCATTGTCAGTGAGATACTTATGATTCTCTACTAGAGTCATAGCTTCATAGATACTTGGAAGTGAAGTTTGAATTGTGTGTGTGATTTTTTTCAAACCAAGTGTTTAAGGCCTTCATCCCACAAAATGCTCCATGCAAGCAGGCATATGAGCAGAGCCCCACGGGAGTCAATATGATTCCATGTGAGTGCAGGGGCCCATCTGCACAGGACAGCTCACAGGATCAGAGCCTCATTGCTGTCACTAGTCCACATGGTATTAAGAGCTTCAGGCTGAGATCTATCCATGCTGCTTGTTCTCTCCTCTAGCTGGAGGAGGTTACTTTAGCTGAGCCTATTTCGTTATTGCAATCAATCAGACCTTTCAATGGGACTGTTGTTCTGAGGTGAAGCAGGGGGCTGAAGCCTTGCTCGCTGCAACACCAACAGTGCCACAGAGGCGTGGCAGAAATGACTGTGGCCGTCAGCTCTATTTCCCTATTTATCTTTTCTTTTTCTAAGTCACGATGCTGTCAGTCTGTGTGATCCAGGATCCCGAATTTGATTCTCAGCATATTGCACTTGGTGTTGCCAACTTGCATTGTTTGATTGTGAGTCTTGAGATATTCAGTGCTTTCCTTTAAGCTCCAGCTCTGGGAGTCATGTGATTATATGAAAATCTCAGATTTGTTTGTTTTTTTTTAAAGTAAGTTTCTAGCCCTCATGATTGTGGAGAAAAGCTGGAAAACAAGAATTTTAAAGGCAGTTATACCAAAGGGAAAATAAAACAAGCCTAAATGTTATTTTGAAGCCAATAGCATGACTTTTTTGGAGGGGCAAACTAATGATTTTTGAATGCTCAGGGTGGGCGATGCTGATTACAGGTCTGCTTTTCAAAAGTGTTGAGAATGGCAAGTTCCATTGAATCCAATGGGAATTACAGAGCTCGGCACCTCTGAAAATCAGGCCTTCCATGTATTATTGCAAGTTGCTTTATTGCCTCTTATTGAGGCATAAAATGTAAGTCTTCCTCATTGTAGAATCTAACTGATTGAGTAATTTTTAATAATTGGATGACTGGTTGCGGGTAGTATTTACAAGAGAAGGAAGGTTGAGTATATGTAGAACAACCTTGCAAACTTCAGCTCAACCACTGCAAGTAAATGTTTATCATATGGGCAAGTAGAAAATCTTTATTGTCGTTATCAGTCAGCATAGTACAAACGTTAATATTTGTGCTTAAAACAGTAAATTCTACAAGACACGTAAATTCAGAGGGCCAAATTGTTAAATTTGTGACAATTATTCTAGCATAGCAATTGCAATTATTTTTTCCTTGTGCTACTTGAATGTTTTATTTGAGTGCAGATGATAGTTTTGTCTCCTATATTTTTCATAATTGTCATACTGGATTAGATTAGTGGTGCATTTTTTCCTGTGTCCTGTCTTTGCCAGTAGTCAGGCTAAGATGCTTTAAAGGAAGGTATAAACATCCTCCCGTCCCACATGGACTATGAAGCCCAGATCCTGTAACCAGGTCCATTAGCAAGGCCTCTCCAGTAGTGTGGAGTCCCATTGATTTCAACGGGACACCAAGGTCTGAGCTAGTAGATTGGGTTGCAGGATTGGGACCTAAGAGGGGAATGTTAATGGTAGTTACATGTGTGTTTACCAAATTAACAAGAATAAATGTGGGTTTGGTTGTACAAGCAGATGCAGCCTCAAATACTGTGGTGGCAGTGTTTTCTAAGAAATCTTCGAAAATGAGGTCCAATGGTTCACATTGTCAATGTGTTTCTGATTACTAAATCCATGGCAAGATGGAAGTTTGGAGAGGACTAAAAGCACATTTTGCGCGGGGAGGGGGGGAGGAGGGGAAGCATATACAACACTTTTTGTTTGTTTTATTTCATTTTCGAGTAACTGCAAAACTCCCTAAATGGAATGTCTCTGACTATTCCTTTCCCCACTCCCACAAGAAAACAAAATCATAATTGTGATGAGAACAGGCCTGAGAAATTTCAGTCCCGTAGGTCACATTTTTCAGAAACGTATCCTCTGAAAACAAGGCCTTACAATGAAAGTGCCTCCAACTATGGTTATAATAAACCAACTTATTAATTGGCATCTGTGCCTGGCTGTTTATATAACGAGCAGCATGGAAGCCTCTACTGGCATACGCATCCAGAGAGAAATCCCTTAACTACTTATTTTTTATACTGACATTCAAATGTTTCCACTGGATTCATTTGTTTTTTAATTGCTATATTTTATTTTGTACTGAAGGAATTAATCATATTTTTGGTTATAATAATGTGTTGGTTTTTATATTGTTCTTTTTCCCAATGTTTGGATTTGTTGATCCAATTCAGCATATATTCTATTGCTCTTTTTGTTACAACTTGGTTGTGCTTCCAAGAATGTTCATATCTGATTCTCTTTAGAGTGTGTGTTTTTAATATCTACACTTTATTTGTTTACAATTTGCATTTGGATTATTGCATCATTTTTTATTTTGATTTGCAATGGTTGATGCACGATACATATATTATGAAATGCATCAACCACTGCAAAACTGTAACATGATTTGCACTTGGATGCATTTCATGCCATGCTATTATGGCTTGCATTGTTTTTATTGTGACTTGTATTGCTTGTTGCATAATAACTGTGAGTGCGCTCTAGCCAATGCAAACCATAAAAACAAAAAAGTATACAAATACAGCTCCTATGACCTTGGTATACAACTGCACGCATGTTTCCAGGAGATAAAAACGCATTATAGGGCTCTGAAAGAATCTGCACATTTCCAGTTGCACTTTTAAGGGCTCTTGTCGTTGTACCTTTAGAGACTGAGAGGAGCAAAGCCAGGCAGAGAGGGGAAGCCTGGATTTTCACCCAGCATTGTCTGCCCTTGGGGAGACCCCCAGCCAACAGATCTTTACAGATTTTTGCCGCAAGTCCCCCACAAACCAACCTAGAGCTTGCCTCTCCTGGGGAAGGAGCATGTTTAAATGTCATATACGCCCGCTGACCTGGGAATAACCCCCTACTGTTTCTCTCTTCTGCCCGCTGGTCCAACGGAGGAAGAGTGGGGGGAGGCAGACTGGAGGAGCGCGGGGGATGCTGGGACTTGCAGTCCTCAGGACTACCGCTGTCCTTTCCCATGCTCGGTGCAAAAACTGCCTTCCCCACCTGGCTTTGCGCCGAGGCGCATGAGCGCTCCATCGCTTTAGCGCATCTATTATGCTGCCTTGCTGAGGATAAAAAGAAGAGCAACTGGAGGGACTATAAGGCAAACGTTGCTGGAGCTGCCGGGGCAAAGTAATCTATTTAATCTTACCCTTTATTCGTTCGATGCTTTGTTTTGCGTTGCTCGCACCGGGCCATGTTTTCTGGAGGAGGGGGAGTGAGGGGGGGGGGGGGGGGAATGCAAAACCCACTTGGGAAAGGTTTTTGCTCTTTTTTTTTTTTTTTTTTTGCAAGCCCTTTAACGCTCCCCTTGGTTCTGCAGCCTTTGTGCATTGCAACAATGTAACAAAGCCAGCTGGCGATCGGATACAGTGTGGCTGCTGATTTCTCTCGCGCTCTCTTTATAGTCTTCTTCCCCCTCCTCCTTCCTCTAACCCGGCGCCCAAAGCAGCCCCATCAGGAGCTCTGGGGGGGGATGTCTGCAACGGAGACCCTGCCTCTCGCATGGCATCCCCCTCTCTGCCGATCCATCCCCCCACGCCCCATCCCCCCAAAAGGCACAGACTGGAGTTTGTGCGGCGCTGGGAGGTCGCAGTCCATCGTCCTTACGGAAGGGATTTTTTCCTCTCTCTCTCTCTTTCTCCTTCTGCCCGCCATCTTTTGAAGGGGAAAATTAGGGGCGAGGAAAAAGGAGGGCTTCAGGCTTCATGTAAAATAACCATAATAATTAATAAAAGAGCCAAAGACCCGTTCGTAGCTCAGGCCACGCAGATGGGTTTACAGCTCCGCCAATCCCCTGCAAGCAAATGGCTAGTCAGTTACAAGCCCCTAGTCAATTTCACAGGAGCACAAAGTATTCCCCCTCCCCCCGTCCCCCGGTCCCCTTGGCTGAGCTCTGAGTTGCAAGAAGCCGGAGAGAAGGAGTTGGGGCCGTGGAAGTGTTTTCAAGGCGCGGAGTTGGTCTCTGCTGTCTGGTTTTTGTGCACCGAGCTCGAGGGTGCCCGGGTTGTGTGTCTGGCCAAGAAAGGGCAGCAAACTGCGAAGTGTGTCCCTGGGAGAAAAGCTTCTAATGTTGAGTGATCACTTGATTTGCTCACAGCCATTTCCCCGCCCTGGTTTACTCCCCTGCAAGGTAGGAGAGGGTCTGAAGCAGGTTGCCTCGATAATAGTATAAAATGCATGTAAACATGGGGGGCGAGGGGGGGGGACTGAACCAAACTCCTGCAAATAAATTAAAAGAAAGGGATAGTTGCCTAAAGTGACACATCTTAAGATGTAAATCTCGGTGCAAAAAGAAACCTGGGCTACAAATAATATTTTGTGTGAAATCCAAATAAAAGAACGGTCACTGTGCTACCAACAGTGCCTCAGGTGGGGGAAAGAGAGGAGTTAAACATTTAAAACTCTAATGTCACGCTTTGCCATTTATACTCTTTGTTTACTCCTTGCCCCAACTTGGAAAATGGAGCTAGCCCACTGTTTCCAGTCTAGTCAGTTTCACTTTCAGGCTTTCACACTATGCTGCAATGTTTGGGTTACAAACATCACAGTGGGAGTGTTTTAGCCTAAAGGAGAAGTCCTACAGAATATAAATCCGGAGTCAATTTAACAAGGTTCTTTAGGAAATGTAACATCCCCATAGAAAGAACCCTTGGTAGGGCAGAGAATGATCTCCTTTCCATAGGTTTTCTTTTAACCATCCTGTAACAGGTCTGCCACATGGATATGTTTTTCCATTGATAGCTATAGGAATGAAAGCAAAAAACCCAAACCCAACCTTTTAGTTTAGAAGAGAAATAACACTCTCATTAACGCTGTGAAAGCTCTCTCTCTCCTTTTAAATACGAGCCTTAAAATTCCAGTTTAAGCCACTCTGCATTATTAAATAGTAGTTAGGGGAAAGCACAATTAGCAAAGCGCACCTGGTGTCCCCTGCTGCGGAAGAGCTGTTTTTGACAGGCTAGTTAGTATTTTTAATGCACACAGAGTTATGCGAGTCATGCTAAGGGGATGTCTCCAAATTAAACTGGAAATTAAGATCAAAGGCTGTAACTCTGTCCTTAGCTCACCCTGTAATATGTCAAGGTGTTAGATAGGACTTGGGTCACCTACCATATGTGCTATAATATTCAGGTTCATGGGGAGGTGGGGGGTTAAAACTGCAGAATAAATTGTTTCCTTCAAGAACAAAAGGTGAGATCAGTAATTGACAAATAATTACAGTTTTGTATTGCTTTTATCAAAGTAATACTTTGAAAAAAGGGGAATACGCTGCATGTGTTAAGTGCTCTCCTAATGTGAAGACCATAGAACTAGGAGACCAGGACAGCTCCAAACGACCTCTAATATATTTTGTTAGCTTAGAATTTTAGGGAGTTTCAAATTATACACCTGCAAGGCTTTGCTGAATAGCATGGCTTCCAGCCTAGATGCCTTGTTTTTATAAAACGGTTTAGTTCACAATCTCTTGTGTGTGACTAGAATAAGCCCCAAGATCGTATTTCTCTTTTCCTTGCCTCAGTCAATTTAAAATACGCATTCACGTATTTGGTGCTTTCAGACAATGCTTAATGAATGAGGTGGGAGTGTGTGTAACAGTTGTCCTCAAAATCCAGTGTAAGCTCGACCACAATTCTATGTGCTATGCTGTATATACAGTATTTGATGCATAGGCAGTAACTGTTCATACCAAAGACCCTTATTAGAAATGATTGTTATACGTGCGGGTTAAAATTTTCAATGATGCTTAAATGATTTAGGAGTCTAAATCTTATTATCAAAAGTGACTTGGGCACTTAGGGGCTAAAGCCCATTGACTTCCAATAAGATGTAACCTCCTAAGTCTTTTGAAATGGGACTTAGGTGACTTTGAAATTTTTGCCTGCAGTCACTTTTTAAAACATCAGCCCAGACATTTTACATTTATTCTTTTTCTTTTAATGTGCTGAGAGTTTAGTTTCTATTGTAGGCGACAGTGTTCTTTCACATTTTATTTTTAAGTGAAGCTGGTTTTGTGAGAGAGTGTCTGAAAATGAAACCCATTTGAAACCACAGTTATGCGTTCCTGCACCGCTAAAACTTAATGGGTGGACTGCCATAAACCAAAATTTATGCAAAGATCCGTTTCTCTTGGGCTAGAGACTTTGTATTACGCAGCGGCATCCCAGAATTATGTTTCCAACATAAGTCTCGTCCCGTAAAACTAGGGGACAATAACAGAGTTTCTTATAAACTTAAACCATGACCCCAGATTCTGTGATCTAGTCTGTCTGAGCAGAGCCCCTGGCCTGCACAGACCCATTGATGCGAATGTGATTTGCATGTGTTGAGAGGTTAGGATTGCACTTGCATGTGCATCTTTAATACATGCCCATGTGAAATGATATAGCTTAAAATTTGTGTTGTTCAGACCTTTTAAAAATGCACCTGTACAATAAGGGCTTGGCCCGACATCCATTGCAGTCTGTCGCCAGGTCTACACAACAACGTTTTGCTGGCATAACTATGTCAGTTAAGAGTGTACAAAAAATCATAACCCTAACCGGCATAGCTATGTCAATATATTCAGTTTATACTGGCAAAAGATCTAAGCTGCGTCTCCATTAGGGAGGATAGCTACACCAGCAAAGCCTTTGTAATATAGACTAGGCCTTAGACTCTCACTCGTTTTCACTTGAGAATCTGTAAGCCTGATAGTTCTCACTGGCAGCACAAATGCCGCAACAGTCTAACCAGTGGCACTGGAACCCTTTTAATAGTGGGGGTGCTGAAAGCCAGCCCCCTTACCCCTCTTTGCACCCCACCCCTCCCCACAGCTGGGGCTGGGAGCAGTGCTGTGTCTTCGGGAGGGGGGACCCGGACGGGGGCAAGGGGACAAAGACTGGGGGTGGGCATGGGGCTCGCAGCTAGGACCCCTTTGTGCGGGGCCAGTAGCAAAGCCCCAGCTGTGGGGCTAGCAGCTGGAAGCGGGGGGGCCAGGTGTGGGGGCACGGGGCCAGTGGCCAGGGAGCAGGGCCAGTGCCCCAAGAGCAGAGCCCTGGGCGCGGGACTGAGAGTGGGGCCCCGGACACAGGGCCAGTGGCTGGGGAGCGGGGCCTGCAGCTGGGACCCAAGCCGCTGGCCCCATGCAAAACCTGGGGGTGCTTCAGTACCCCTAGTTCCCATGCCTGTAAGTCTAACCCCTCTTCTCAGCAACAGCCGAGCGATGTAAAGAGGACTCACATTTCAAAGACTTAGGCCTGGTCTACACTTAAAAATTAGATCGACCTAGCCATGTTGCTCAGGGCTGTGAAAAATTTTGCGCCCTGAGTGCTGTAGTTAGGTCGACCTAACGCCCAGTGTACACACAGATAGGTCAGTGGAATAGTCTTCCATCAACCTAGCTACCGCCTCTTGGAGAGGTGGATTAACTACCTCAACAGAAAACCCCCTTCCGTCCATATAGGAAGCGTTGACACTATAGTGGTACGGCGGCACAGCTGCTGTGCTGTGTCTGTGCCACTGTAGTGTAAACTTACCCCGTTACTTTTACAAAATATATCACTCTCCATCTACTTTGGTATACAATTACTATACATTCGGACTAATTTACACTTGTTTAAAGAAATGAACAAAGAACATTTTGCAGCGCAGCATCCTTGATTGTTCTTTAATACCACTTATTCTCCTCTTTTTGCTTATTTGCACAATTCATTAATCCACAGTGGTCTCCCAGTCATTAGCTTGAGCCCTATGTTTTGTTTTGTTTTTAAAAGTACTGCATTCTTCTGCAGTAATAGCCCAGAGCACTATTGTAAACAGCGGAGTTCTGGGAACTAGCAAGGTGCGCCTTACCCGTTGTCTGGGACCGTGCTCAGTGGGCTGATGGTTTGCACCCTCAGGAAGTTTGCGGATGACACTAAGCTGGGGGGAGAGGTAGATACGCTGGAGCACTGGTGGGCAACCTGCGGCCCACGGGCCGCATGCATCCCGTCAGGATAATCTGCTGGCGGGCTGCTAGACCATTTGTTTACATTTGCATGGCCGCCCGCAGCTCCCAGTGGCCATGGTTCGCCGTTCCTCGCCAATGGGAGCTGCGGGATGTGGCAGCCAGGCCTGTGCTACGTCCCGCAGCTCCCACTGGCCGGGAACGG